CGGAGAAGCCAAGCATGTTTCTGGCGCCAGATGGCAGCAATTAAATATCTGGACTTAAAGGATAGAATCCAGGGTGGCGCTGAAATCCCACAGGACAGTGGCTGAAACCCTAATTGTCAGGATCAGCTCTGTGGTCTGCAGTGACCTGTGGTTTCACATGAGACATGCCCGCAGCTGGGGAGGAAGCCTGGGGCTTCGGACGCCACAGGCAGAGGTAAACAGAACCGCGATCTGTCCTGCAAGGATCACAAGGAACCGCAGAGAAGCAACAGAAGGAAGAAAAGGCATTCCTTGGCTGGGAGTTTATTGAATGTTTAACATCAGGGAGCAGAGTGGTCAGAAGGAAAAGGCTCTCCTTGGCTTTCTTTCCACAAAGAAATGGAAATACACTCATTTCCCGCACTCAGGTTGGTTAATTACAGAATAGAAAACAGGGATTCATTTCACAATATGTCATTCCATTTTATATTCTGATTTCATTTTTTTTTAACCTCTAAAGTCACCAGGAACTTATATGTCTTTGCAATAGTTGAAAATTAAATATTCAGCTTTTTAAACATGCTTTTTATGAGGGGAGTATTCAAATAAGGAGAAAAATTTCAATTCTCCAATTTTTGGCTTTTAACTTAGGAAGCCGTAATTTACTGCACCCCTCCCTCCCAGGCAGGGAGGCTCCTGAACCAGTCCTTGCCAGCGCCCTCTAGTGGTGGGCACATGGAACTCTGAGCAACAGGGCATTTCAAATAAACCCTGTGGTGGCGCACAGCTGTAAGCCCAGCACTCTGGGAGACTGAGGCAGGAAGATTGCCAGCTGGAGCCTGGGCTGAACAACTTAGTGAACCCCTACCTCAAAATGCGAACAGAAGAATAAAGCGCTGGGTGTAGTGGGAGACCCTGGGTTCAATCTCCAGGGCTGCAAGGAAGAAAATGTCTGGCAATAGAGTTGAATGCTAATTTTCTTTTTTCTTTTTAAAAATTTTACTGGTACATGTGTGCAGTGCATGGGCACACATTTCTCGGGGGGAGTTGTACATGGGCATAGCATCTTAATTCCTTTTTCACCCTTCCCTCCCTCCCCTCCCTCCATTTCTTCATTCTATTCCCGTGAGAAACATGTCTCCCTTCTTCCTATGATCTATCTATCTTTTATTTGCTCTTTATTTATAATTTGGGTTCTTATGCAAGAGAAACTCCCTCTCCCCCCCCCCACACGTCTGTTACTGGGATCAAAGCTTGCGCCATCATACCTGGCTCCCTTCCCTCCTTCCCTTCTCTGACACAGGATCTTGTCCTATTGCCCAGGCAGGCCCTAAACTCCTGGGCTCAAGTGATCCTCCTGCCTCAGGCTCCATAGTGACCCACAATCCTGCTTGGACCTTTCCTCTTAATCTGCAGGGAATACAGGAAAGGTATGCCACGTAGTGGTACATTCGAAGTATATTTGGATAGCTATGAAATTCCCTAAGTCATCCTTTAAGATCACAATCAGCAGGGCAATATTTACTGAGGCATTATGGGTGTTCCAACAGCTTGCTGTTTGAATCCGGAGTTGCCCATTCTACAACATTAACCGCATCTACAGATCGAGAAGTGTATATCTCTAAAAAGAGTAAAAAGCTGTTTTCCAAGCAGCTGCTCCTTACAGAAGCAGCATCCTAGTGAGGAGAGCGCTCCAGTTCCCGCCTTGGCTTCCTGGGCTTCCTTATCTGTGCCATCCCCGGTGTGGCCCTTGCTGGCAGTGCTGGTGCACTCACTGGTTACTCTGTGCCGGTTCCAAGAGTCTGGCCAGGCTGGGGCTGCTCAGCCCTCACCCCTTCCGCCTGGCTTCCTGCTACACTTTTCCACCCCTGTGCTCCCAGTTCCCATTCATTCATCCTTCACCATCATTTATTTTCTTACTTAGTGGTGCCAGGTGGAGCCAGGCAGGTGCTGTGATACTGGGTCAGCCCCAACCCCAAAGCTTCAGCCTGCGCCCGGAAGCTTTTGCCCCCAGAACTCAGCTGCTGTGGTTCTTATTAAGAGCGCTGCATTGGCTGTCTTCATCTGGCAGAACCGGGGTGCTCTGCTGAGCTCGATTCTCTCCTGTTGGGTGGCTCACCAGCCTCGACTTCTGTGATAGCTCGCCAGACGCCACCAACGCCCCCAGGAGGGTCTCAGCTCAGATTAGCTCTCCCAGACACCCTCACTGTGCCCTTTCTACCTCCCCGACCCCAGCATCTCTGTCCTGGGGTCCCAGGGTTCCCAGTTCTTCTCTGGACCACAGTCATGTTCTGTCCAGGAGCACAGCCCGGCAGCTCTGCCACCAGTGTGAGCTCTGAGCCTCTTTCCTGATGATTTCTCCTCACCCCATCTCCGTCCCAAACCCCTCTGCGGCCCTGGATCCAGCTCCCTGAGCCTCCCATGGCTCTGTCTTTGGGCACCTCCATAAGCAGCTGGAAACTCCTTTCAAAGCAGGCACAGCATCCCAGAATGACATTGCAAGACCCGGATGACACAGGAACTTCTGGGGCCCAGTACTCCAGACCTGGAGGTGAGGTGAGAAGACAACAGCCCTTGGTCACCCAGGCACCCCGCCAGCCCTGGCTGCCTCTTATATCTATGCCATCCACCCCGATGGTGGGCTTCCCGTCCTGTCCTCTCTGATCTTGCACATCTGTGTCCTGCAGCCTGGACGCCACCCTGATTGCAGCTCCTTCTCAGTGTGCAGTGCCAGGTGTCCGTCACCTCCTCTGTCCGCTTCTCCTGTGCTCTACCTGAAGGGGTCCTTGCCACCCCCTCCACGCTCGCTGATGAAGTCCACCGAGCCCCACCAGCTTACATCCCCTGGTGGGCCTGTGCCTGGGTTAAGTGCTTCTGCTTTCCAGAATGAAAGGCCAGCAAGTCAGCTGTGCCTCCTTGTCCACTCCCCAGTGACTGTGGGTGCCAGATGTTCAAGATGTGACTGAGTCACTGAAAAAAAAAGGGAAGGTCCACCCGTCTTCCTGCAGCTAGTGGGGTGCTGCACAGCATCCTGGCTGTGTGTGTGTGAAACCCTCTGGGCCTCACTGGCTCCCCAGGCCTTTCTGCCTCCTTGACTTCTGAGATGCATCTCAGCCTCACCTGGCGAGTACCCTCTCTGCATTTTCCTGGTTCCTGACCCATGAGCTGTCCCAGAGGGCAGCTCTGGCTCACGCTGACTTTGACTCTGGTCCTGGACAGAGGAATTGGACAGAGGCTGCCAGGGTCCCTTCCTGGCAGGGGCACAAGTTGCATGGCGTGGTACCAATGGCTGAGCTGTCACTGACGGAGGGAAGGTGTTTCCGGGAGGGGCATCTGTAGTACTGACAGATGGGGAACTGGTAAGGGGAGCATGCTGGTCGGGCCAAGCTGCCGTAACGAAGCACTGAGGTCTTGGGCCTTGGAGGGATGTATGTCACCCTGGTGGTGCTGGAGGCAAGAAGCCTTCCATCGAGGTGTCGGCGGTGTGGGCTTCTCCCCAGCCCTCTCCGTGGCTGCCAAGGCCTCTCTTTGTCCTCTCCTGGCCTACATCTTTCTCAGGAGCCTGATCAGGCCCAGCCTCACAATGTCACTGAATCTTAATTACCTCCCTGGCATCCTGACTCCAAATGCAGTTACTCTGGGCGTCAGGTTAAAGTACTTCCAGAGTGTGTGCATCTCAGAAGGAGCAAAGACGGGATCCGGCCCCGTGCAGCCTGGCTCTGAAGCCTTTGCTGCTCAGCTACCCCACCTGACTCCAATGTGTCTCGTTTTCTCACCTTCCCCGTGCTTGTTCATCAGCGAGGCGCCTCAGTTCCACCGACAGAGCAGGGCTCACCCACAGCCGCTTCTGTCTGCTCTGTGTCCTCTTGCAAGTCAGGATGCTCGCCCTGCTGCCAGTCCCCAAAGGCCTCCAGAGTTAGGTCTGTACAGACAGGAGTCACAGGGTGCCTGTCATTCCCGACTCCCTTCCAAACCCCGCAGACTCAGGACCTGGTGCTACCTGCTTCCCATCACCCGCTCTGAGGGAGCCCTGTGGGCTTCTGTTGTCCCTTCCTGTCAAGAACCCTCCCTGCCCCAGCCCCTGCCATCCTCCCATTTCATCCAAGTCTCTTCTCAAACGTCCCCTTAAGAGACCTCACTGACCGAGCCACCTCTGAAGGTCCCTGGACCTATCCTGTCCACACTCATCTCGTCTCCTTAGCTTGGTTTTAGTTGTCAAGCTCAGATATATTAGCTTTGGACTTTGTGCTCCGTGTCTGTGGATTATTAGAACACCTGTGCCGCGTGGGCTGGTAAGGACTGTGCCCCATGGATTCATCACCAGAGTAAAGCTGCTCCAAGCACAGTATTTACTTTTTGCATGAGGGGAATGAGGTCTCAGTGTCCAGGGAAGCTGCCTGCTTTTATGGTTTTGCATTTTCTACGTGGAGCTTCCTTTTTGCCTTGGTTTCTTAGGAAGGTTTTCTGCACGCACTGAGCAAGCAGCCTGAAGCTCCACGCTCCTGAGCTCGGACCCCACTGGCCCCAGGTTAGGCTTTGGGAGCCACACACAACTCCTGCACACCCTTCCCGTGCCAAGTAGATATAGGGCCCTCTAGTGCGCTGAGAATTCCTCAGTGATAATCACCAAGGCTATTTCACAATGAGGGTCCAGAGAATTCTTGCAGAAAAGATTGCCTTTCAGAATCCTGACAGGATACACTATTAAAAAACACAACCACAGGAAGTGCTTTGCTCAAACCAGGGAGCCACAAGCCACCAGTGGTCCAAGTGGGGCTTTACGATACTCACAACTAGGTGTTATGTCACCTCCTGGTAGCCACACAAAGCCCACCCCACCAAGGCCACACTGTGAGCGGCTGGCGCATGTCATACTGGCTGTGGACGTGGCCCCTTCGCCGCGGACGTTGGTGGCCGTCTCTCCTCGAAGGCCTGGGGCGTGTGGTTCAGTTTCATAAGCAATCCCAGGTCTGGGTAAACATGCTTGACTGATTAATGATAACAGCTCTTAAAACACCACAGATGTTTCCAGCGCCCAGAAATGTTTATTTTTTATACTAAATTAAATTCATTTTCCCTCTCATTCCCTCTAAGAAGAACGGTGACAAACTGAAATGCAGCAGAGTGAACGGCTATATTGAGGATGGCCATGTGCCACGGCCTCTCACAAGGCTAGGGCTTGGGGTGTGCTTCACCAGAGGGTGGTGGGCAGGGGTGATGAGGCTGGGAGGACAGGGCCACCCTGGACGGTGCTCTGCTGCTGGACGATTAGCGCCATGCCTTTCGCTTTGTGTGTTCCAGATCCCATAATAACCAGTGAAACAGGAATGATGGCCACTTCGCAGCACACAGGAAGGACTCATCTGCTATGGGGAAAAAGAAGGAAACAAACACTGAGAAGCACTTGAGTGGAGATGCAGAGGACAGCCCGCCCGTGCACACAGGAGCCCACCAAAGCTTGGGTGGGCCACTTTCCCCGGGCGGTGCAGCCTCTAAGATTCCAGAACCTACTCTCTGCACAGGTGTCTTTGCTGCCTGCAATGATGGGAACAACCTGGGACACCGATATGCACACAATGTCTGTTTATCTGGCCATGCGTGTGCTGATAAGCTAGTTATTGCTTCACAGGACGGTAGTAGTAGACCATAGTCACGCACTCTACTGGTGTGAGTTTTTCCAGGTTGCCACGATCGACCGTGATGGTTTCCACCCCTGGGTATCTCCCACAGGAGATTCTCAGAGTGGCATGGTCAGCTGTCCTGGGGTTACAGCCCTGGCAGCATACTCCACCTCCAGAGTGAACCTTAGAAGTCAGGGCATCCAGACAGCTATGAGCATCACTGTAAGGTGTGGGGTTCAAACAAGCCATCCTTTGTAAATCAGTTTCAAAGAACAAATGCAAAACTCTCCACTTGCCCATGACTAGTGGGGCTGCAGAGCAGAGAATTTGGATACAAGCAGAAAAACCATGCTAATCCAGGACTTGCTGAATCACCCAAGCATCAGCAAATGCCAGGAAGGGGCCAGAGAATGGGCAGATCCTTGTGTGGTGACTCAGCTCCTTTCTCTTCCCTGAAAAAAAGCAAAAACAAAGGCAAAATTCTCATCCTAATCTAGTACATGTAATTGTTCATTTAGAGCTCAGTTTAAAAAGTATTTTTAAAATTTTATGGTGCTAGGGTTGTGCGTGCCAGGCAAGCTCTTCACCCTCAGCCCACATTCTGGGCCTTCCTCGTGTATCTCCAGCATCTCTGAAGACAGAGGACATCTACCGAGATGGCCACTTCCTGGTGTCCTCCAACGCTGAATTCCTACTCTGAGTTCAAAGCAAAGCCAGCTCTGGCTGCACCTTCTGTGTGCTCACAGCTGACTGCTCCGGCCGGCCGTGTGACTGCTATTCCTAGTTCCCCATTTCCTAACCTTCACCTCCCCTTTGTTTCTGACTTTCGCCATTAGGGACGCATGGCTCAGAAGGTGCCTCCTTCTATTGTTTCCAGAGAACCTTTCGCATTCAGGCCGCTAGACTGAGACCACCAACATTCTGTCCCACAAAAGCTTGGTGAGTGTGTGTGAGCACGGCTATCACTCAGCAGCAGAGCCCCACAGCCTTCTGGGGGACACTGTGCTGCCTATGCCTGGCCCACAGGGACACCAGACCCTTTCACGAGGGTCTCAACCAGAGAAAGGGGAGCCTCCCTGACAGGAACCCTGCTTTGATCTGGGTATACAAAATAAGGACACTTTAGTTCAGAGCCGAGTGCTTGCCTAGCATTATAAGCCCTGGGTTGGACCCCAGGACTGCCTAAAATAAATATATTTATATTAGGATTGCGATGCATGCTGGACACAGTGACCCTGAGTAAGATGGAACCATACAGAATGTGCAGCAGCACTGCAATGGATCAGTCTGCTGAGGCTGGGTTCTGCTGCAGTAATAAATAACTGCAAACTCCCAGGAGCTTACTGCAAGAGATTTCTGTCCCACTCCTGTTACATCCGCCTGCACCCCTCATGGCTATGACTTCGTTCCATGTATTCCTTGCCCGAGGACTCAGGCTAAATAAACAGCTTTTATCTAGAAAAGTAGGAAATTCTAAAGAAGGGAAATAGTTACAGGCAGGTGACACAGTGCACTTCTGAGCTTATTCCATCGCCAAACAAGTCCCCTACTCTAGAAGGCTGAGGCAGGAGGACTGCAGGTCTGAGCCAAATCTGGGCAACTTAACAGCTTAGCAAGACTTTGTCTCAAAACAAAATTTTAAAGAAGGTTGAGGGCCGTGGCTGTAGCTCAGTGCAAAGGCCTGGGTTCAATTTCTAGCACTGATTTAAAAAAAGTCCACGAGGAAGGCGAAGCCAGTGGCGTGAGGGAGTGTGATTCCTGCGGACAGAAGAAGCTTGGAGGAAGGGCAGGGATGTTTTACCTGCTGTAATCCGTGCTGATGACGAGAACCACACAGCAGTCCATGAAGAGCACCACCCAGGGCATGGGGCTGAGGGGTTTCCGTGGAAATCAGGTTGTACCCATCAGCCCGTTCTGAGACCTAACCTTGTCCTCCATGAAGTCAGGGGCTTGGTCTATTGGGTACAGTGTCCCTTGCAGCTCTGACTGGCGGCGTGTGCTTTGCCATTTAGGTGATTAACTTGGGAATCTCACAAAACCGAACAACTTGCACTTTCGGTGACTCATTAAGTGCACTCAGAAGCTGGTTCGGGATGGGCACAGCAAGAGCCACCGAGAGGCAGTGCAAGCTGAGGAGAGGTGAGGACCAGTGAGACCCACCCTCAGGCTGTGGAGGACGCTGGGAACCCAGCAGCGCTGGACTGAGCACCTCAGGCCACTCGGGTGCTGACGCCAGGGCAGGCCACAGTTCCTGGCTTTCTAGTTCCCTGCAGCTAGAACTTGCATAAATGACTGAATCTAAAGGCAGGTATACTTTGAAGATACTGCAAATGGAACGAAGCTTTTTGTCTTGCTCTTTATTTTGTGGGAGACAACTAAATAACAGGACAAACTCCCAAACCATTAGAATTCAGTAAGAAATGTTGTAATAGTGTATGAAAATGAATTTCCTGATTTTACTATGAAAAGGAAACGGCGGTCTTTTTGACCTAACTGCATAGTTGATTTGTCACAACAAACAAGCAAACAAAAAACCTCTGTCCACCAGATGAAATTGGCTAAAGAGAACCATGTAACAAGTGGTTTTTGTTTCCATTCACTTTATGACAGCATAAGTTAAACTTTAAAAAAGTCCTTCAATTACCACAAATAGACAGCGTGGCCATTTGAATAACAGCAAAGCACACTGTGGGTTCACCTTCGCCCCAAGCGGTGACTGTCCGTCTTCCCTGCCCAGGCCATTCTTGCTTAGAGAGTCTCCAGGAGTTTTTTTTCTTTACCACAGTGGCTCATAGGAGCTACTCAGTTATTTCACCTTTTAGTGGCAGGAATAAACAGGACGTGTAGGTTTACTTTTTGTTTATTAATGTGGTGTGAGAGAGATAAAAAAAAATTAGCATAGTTTTAAAAATTTAAAACAGACCCACAACACAGATAAAATTCCTGCAGAACCATCCATCGGGGCAGTATGTTTTGGAAACAGAATCAGCTCCAGGTTGGGGGAGGACCGATCCTTTTTCTCCCTCCTCTCTGAACCCACTTCCACTGTGAGGAGCTGGAAAATCCCAAACACCGAAACAGGGATGTGAGAAGTGAAAGAGAAAGCAGGTCCAAGGAGGAGCCAGCAGGTCCTGGGGTTCAGGGCTCCGGAAGAACCTGCTGTTCTCATCTGCGCTGTACTAACTTTCAGGAGCTGTGAGCCTTGTGAGAATCGCTACCAAGGAAAGGGCTTCTGACACGGCACATCCCTGGGGAGCCACGCTCCCCCTGTCTGCAGACTCCCGGCTGCTGACACTCGCTTAGGGTGGGAAGACACACCCTGCGCCTTGCCTTTCTGCCCCAGGACCAGGGCTTCCTGGGTAGGGAGATGCAGTCAGGGTCAGTTCTCACTCCTGACCCTCAGCAGCAAGCCCCTCTGAGCTTCCCCAGCTGACAGCGCAGTGCTGTTCCAGGTGGCTGACACCCTGCGTGCGAGACGCTGAGGATGTTTATGAAGCTTGCAGCAAGAGACACGAATGCCACCAGAACACTCTGGCGCTGCTCGACTCACAGCACAGGGTCAGGGGATGTGTCCCCTCCCCGGGCAGCCGGCACCAGCACCCAGCGTGCAGTTTTCCTTGGAGACGGGCCATCTGCACCCTGCCCTGGCAGCCCCTGGCCGCCTGGGCTTCCTGTCCTGTTCCCCATCCGCCACCCGGCCTAGGGCGCCTTGGAAGGCTCTCTGGCCATTTCCTGCATTCTGCAGGAGCGCTAATTGAAAATTTGGGTGGCCTTGCTTATTTATTTTCCTGGAATGCAGCGGGTTATATTTTCATGGCATTTTCTCAGCAGTGCGGCGTTTCAGTTTCAAACTACAACAGTGAGAAGCAAAGCCAGTCGCCGAGCAAGCAGACACAAATCTGACCGGCTTGGACTTTGTAGTCCTGCTGCTGTGTGTGGTAACTAAATCTAAGCCCCCAGAAAGTCTGCTCCTTTCATGAGACTCCTCAGAAAGACAAGTTTACTTCCTGTTGGGAGGAGAGAAAACACAGGGATGTGCTAGGTTGCCATGGCAAGCGAGAGCTAAGCAGGAGGGACACTCCGAAATTCAGTAATTGCACATCTGAATCCTCATCAAAGGGGCTGGCTCCAATTCCCTGCCAATTTAATATAAGAAAATGGCACCAAACACACTCTTATCACCATACTGTCGCATCGGGGTCTGACAGGAATGACAGAGTCCACATCGGTCACACAAGCACTTTTTTTTAAGAACAGGAAAGCTCATGGTGAATTTTTAATTTTCCCAAGGTGCCAAGCCATGTTGTTCTGTCCATCAAGCACTGCTGTAAGTTTTGTATTGCCAAACGTTCTGAGATGACTCTGTTTCAATGGCTTTGCATAAAAACACAATTCTGGCAAAAATTAAATTTATACACATGACTTAATTTGCACTTTAAAACTGACTTTGGATTTCATTCTGGGTGCGTGCATCTTTGATTTCCAAACTAAAAGGACAGAGAGGGAGTGAATTTTTAACATCAGATACATTCTGCGTGAAATATATTGAAAGAAAAATTTAGTGGTTGAAAATCTGGGTGGGTGTTGAATACATTTAGTTACCAAAGATGACTGCAATAATTCAGTTCCCTGAAAGCAGGCCAGCTGAGGGCAATACCTTCCCATCTTTTTGTCTTTAAAGTGGGACCTGACTAAGTTGTTTCTTTCACCTTGGAAGCACCCTTCCCATTTTGTAGCCCTTTCTGCCTCTGGTGTGACCCGCAGATGTGCTGAGAACCATTTACCCCAAAATCGACACCTGCCTGGCAAGTGTGAGGTCGTGAGTTCGATCCCCGGTACAAAAAAAGCCAAATCAAACCAAAACAAAAACCCAAGATTGAAAATAAGGCTTTTCTGTGAAGCAGAGGCTGCCCTGCTCTGAGTTATCCTATTTTATTTGGGGCATTTGATTTTTAGAAATTAAAACAAATTTCACCTGTGTAATATAACTCCCCAAATTAATGTTATTAAATGAGTTACTTTTTATAAATTGGAGCTTGCACTAAACTGTCAAAAATCAAATCACATATGTACATAAAATTAGTAAGTTTATAGAGGTGTTTGACTTCTTGGCTGAAAAATTTGATCGGTGCCTTACTATGATATATAAATAGAATTTCTTTTCCATATGTCCTTTGTCCTCTTGTTTCTCCTAGCACTTGGGGGCCTTGCACTTGCTAAGTGTGTGCTGTGCTATATTTTATGCTCACCTTCAGGCCCATATATCTTAAAAGTAAGGGGTTAATGAGGAAAAAATCGCCTATATTATGCAAAAATCACCTCATTGAAGTCTATAATTTGAATATATACATGAGTTGAATACTAATTATAATTTTCACGTAGCACTGATTATATCTTTGCAACTCACTGAGATATGCTATGCATAGAATGCTAGTAATGCTCTATACATCTCTTCATAGCCTATAAAAGTATTTTTCAACATATAATTGAGATTCATAGTTCTCTGAGGCAAACTTGTTTAAAATGCTAAAAACTCACTAAGAAAAAGAAATGTACAGAAAAATCGGTTTTTGAAAGTGTACCCGTAGTAACAGAATCAAGCATGAAACAGGAAATAGATTGCAGTTTAAATAAAGAATGTATTTAGCTTTGGGTGGCTCTCCTGACCACGGAATAAAATTGTTGAAGTTCTTCCACTCTTAGAAAACAAAACCGAAAACATTCATTCCCTTGGTAAGTTCAAACATTTTATTTAACAGTTTTTCTTTACATATGTCTTTTTAAAAATAAAATTAAAAGCAAATCACACCATTCAGATCTATATCGCTTTTCCTGGTAGTGGGCTCATCTCTCACCAGGCCTGTCTCTCCTTACAGTAAATCGTATCTTAAAAAATGAAGCAGCAGAATCCATTTGAATACCCGGGCTTTTGCAGATAAAGTCTGAACATATGGGAAAGGCAAGTTTCATCATTTATACAAAGTCTCAAAAATAAAAATTATGCCTTTAAAATATTTTCCACTACCATTTCCACTTTGCCAGGATTAACGGTCCATTTTAGCTCGGCCCACTCCCCACCACGCAATTGTGCAAACCTAAAATGTCTTTCAAAGCAAAGTCGCTCCTTCTGACTTACCCTGTCCTGGTTAGCCAAGAGCTGCCATTTCATTTCAGTACAGATGCAGCACTTCAGAGTACAGTTTACACTGCACACACACAAAACTCACAGTCCGATTTAGGGACTGCCCCCAAGAAATAAATACCCCAAATTTCAAAATTATGCCTCACAGAAACGCAAAGTGCGAGCTGGAGGCTTTACATCACACAGGACAGGCCATCGCCTAGAGTCTCCTGAGAAGGGGCCACATTGCTGAATAGTTTGTATGAGACAAGCACAAAATTGTAAGTATGAGCTATCTTCCTGTCTTTGCTTTCGCTTGAAACTTAACGACTTAGACAGAAACCTGGGTTATGTGTTCAGTGTCGGATAACAGAAGTATTGGATCTATGGATCGGCTTTCTACTCTGACATTCGGCTGTAAACAACTGACAACTCACCTGATTTGGATTAGTTTGCCCAAAGCATAAGGCAAACTAAACCAGGTTCCTGGGCTCTTTTTCTTGAGCAAGTGAGTGGGTTCTCCACGGCACTTCCCTGTGACAGAGGCAGAAAGAGGTGATGTGACTATGCAGCAGGGGTCCACCGGCCGGGCCAGGCTGCCCTCGGACTGTCAGCCAGCCGGCCCTGGACACAAGACGCCCGCCCGCCAAGTGGCTGCAAAGCCCAAACCCTCCCCGGGACGGATTCTCCAATTACAGTCTCCACCAGGAGCGCGAGAGCTGCGGAAAGTGAAACACGGAGGAACAATCTTCCCATGATGACTGGTCCGGCCACAAAAGAGCAGTGTGCTAATCAGAGAAGTTTTTAAACGTGAAAATGCCGCCGTGGGCATTCTTTTGCATGGAATTTTGCTGAAGATCTCAACTTACAGAAAAGATCAAAGAGATGTAGGGAAATAAATCTTTCAGCGGTGACTGATGAGGCAGGAGGATGATGATGCAAGGTGGGGTGAAATGGAAATGGCCCCCGAGCCCCAGGGCCCCTGACACCCACCATTCACACCACTGCCGCTCTCGCAGGAGCTGCCACCTCTAGACTCAGTTTTTCAGGCTTTTCTTTGTAGTGTGTATGTGCATGTGAGTGAGTGTCTGGGCCTGGATATAAGTGTGGATGTGTGTGTAAGTATATAGGTACGTGCACCTGCACGTACACGTAGGTGGCTATGTATATATGACAGGGTATTGTGTGCATGTGTGCTCTTGTGTGCACATGCTCATGGGTGTATACCAGGGTGTGCATGAGTGGGTACGTGGGCACGTGTGTATTGGTGTGTGTGTGTGTCTATGTGCAGTGAGCGGTGGTAGGGACTTGCTAGTGGTTAAGAAAGAACTGATTTCCTCAGGACAATTTCCCCTGTTCAAAAAAGATGTAAGAAAGGAGGGATAGAAACAGGAAAGGAGGAGAGAGAATCAGGGAGGAAGATGGAGGAACTCACAGTCAGTCTACTGGCCCGATTCTTTTCCCTGTCAACCTGCACTGTTTTCTTTTTCTTTCTTTCCTTTTATTTGAAATTCACCTGTCATTAGCCAGCTGTCAGGCATCTCACTGTGGCCTGGAGCTGACTTAGGGGGCATTAGCACTGGGGTCTCCTATAGACATGGCCCGTCAAGGGAGCATTTTATTTGAGTGTTTCTCAGAAACTGAAGACTGTTATCAATAGTAAATATTAATAGCAATATTACTGGTAGAGTTACAGATATGCTGAGAAAACAATAAATCGGTTTTTTTTCATTGTTCAGGGTTCATTGATGAGAATCACTAAATTTTTAAGATTTATTTCATGTTTAAGTGAGCTGCTTGCTAAGAATGTAGAATAGTTCATTAAATGCAATGTTTTACTTCATATAACGCTTCTACCATGATGAGTATTTTAACTTAAACTTAATATAAGAGATGTTAGGCTTATTTATATGCTTAGAAAATATGAAATCTTTTTGAATAGAATAATCTCAATTTTGTGACAGCACTAACTGCATTCTATACTTATAAGAAAGCTCTGTATTCTTAATTATTTAGGTTCATTAAATGTCACAAATTATGTAACATTCCTGAAAACTTAGAACTTTTTAATGTATAATTGTTAGATTCCTAGTCAGGGTACACAGTTTTTGAATAATTTGTCATTGAGATTTTTCAGAAATTTTTGCCATAATATATATACTTATCCTCATGTAAAATTACAAATGCTTCTCTTGTTGCATTTTAATGGGCATATCAATAATGCATGTGCAATGTACACACACACTGTAATGCAGTATATTTTCAATAAGTTCACATTAAAAAAATTAAAGGCAAATAGTAGTTATTACGTGAAAGTAGTGTTTATGTTTGTTTTCATTGTAAAAAAAAAAAATTAATTGACAGCAGCTTTGCTCCCAGGAAGATTTCACCTAGAGTACGGCTTAGGTGGTCACCCTATTCAGACCCCTAACCGAGATAACCCAATGTCCTTGATCCACTCAGAATTTCCTAATAAAAATGTGTTAGAGTATTCTTTAAACAAGAGCAGACTCTTCACAGTTTCAGTGGTTTTATTGTTATTATTATTATGGTTAAAATTTTCCTCCAAGAGACTTTCTTAGGCAGCTGATTGTATCAGACCTCATGGTAAACACTGACCAAACAAGACCTTGCACACAAAAAATAAATAAAAATAAATAAAAATGAAGAGCAAGATTTTTCATTTATTCTCCTCACCTCCCAATACCTAAAATATGTTTTTCTTCTGGAAAATTAATAAGGCAGTGATAAAATTAATTATTATATTTTTACCTTAATGGCAGACTAGCTTAATTTATAGAAGGCAAGAGATAACATGCAGAGAAAGAACAACGTTCTGTGTGTAAGAGGCACTTTGCCAGTGCTGAGAAACTGAAAACAGCTAAGCTTGACTTGCTACCATGCACACATGCAGAGCTCTGAATTAGAGACCAGTTTGTGCAAAGAAACCCTTTTTTCTAAGTGTTTCCTCCAATTGCATTACCTCCAGGACCAGCCAAATGCAGATTTCAGAGACATGGGAAAAATATTGTGTTGTCATAAATCGAGAGAGGAAAGCAAAGTGAGAATTCTGTAAATACAGAAGATCAAGTAAATGTTCAAAAGGTTCCCCTCTCTGTTTGATGTGGGAAGTTGCCTTGTCTCATTCTGGAAAAATCATCTTCAATTCTTTGATAATTAATTTATATTTTATTTCTCTTAAAGCATGCCAAAACTCACTTGGAGGGACAAAGTGCACACAGCAGTGCATTCCTCTCCCCCTCTCCTTTGAGTAACACTTTACTCGATATGATAGTTTCTGGCCTGAGATTATATTTACTAGAAAGATTGCTGCCAAACTTAGAGTCAGTAGTTGCTAGCATATTTGTGCAAGGCAGGAGTTGGGGAGGCTGGATGGCGTTTAATAATTTTTCCTGGATATTAATCAACACTGTGCTGTGTCACGCCAGGCCGAGTCATTTTTCCATTAGGCCATGGGGCAGGATCGGCATTTCAAAGCAGGCCAGCACTGTAACCAAGGAAAACATGGTCTACACATTCTAGTTCAAAACTGATCTTCGGAGAGAGACTTCTTTCTCCAATAAATTTCTGCAAATCAGGGTCTGCTTAAACAGGAATAATTTTTCAACAGATCCCAAACCAGAGCGATGTGAAGGAATGAAGGGCAGCCACTAACATTTTTCTTTCCAGAATGAGATCTCCAAAGGTTCTTCATGGATATATATATATATATATATATATATATATATATTGTAATTTTAATTGCATAACTACATATTCTACCTTGGTTCTTAAAGAAAACTTTGCCAGACACCCTCTCACATGCATAGAGTCCCAGAGAGCCGTTGCTGTAAAAGAGAACCCGGGTCCTGAAGTCTGGGAGTCACCCCTGTGCATGAACTGGAGTTTGTAATCTGTATTAGTGGAATGAATATGCATCATGTTACATACATATAACACACGATAATAATGCAAACTGACACAGACTCATACATCCAGCATCTGGAAAAATGTGGTCAAGCTTAAGAGGAATTAATGGAAAAGTAGGAATTCAATAAAACAGCAAAGCTGAAATACAACCTGTACATCTGACGTTACATCGTTTTTCCTTTTCATTACTATACTTCACTGCTAACCTACCTAGCTTGGGTTTTCTCCAGCAGTACCCAAACCAGGGGCAGAAAGTCAGTCATTAGTTCAGAGGGCTGAGGGCTGTCAGGAAGGTGTGCATAGAAGACAGAAAGGTTATAGAAACAAAACAGGACTGCTAGTCCGCTGCAGTGTTGAAGAGAGTGGTCACCAAGACTTATTTCAAGTGGCCTACAAGCAGGTGACGGTGTTAGGGAAAACACTGCCTCTGCTGAGGAGCAGACAGTCCCGCTGGCATACAGTTATTTGGAAAATGCCACGGATCCCACCCATACTCCCTTCGAGGACAGATAAGTCAGCTGGAAGAGAGGGCCTTGCGGCTCAGCCAGAACCAGTGAGCGGCCTGACAGCTGCTTACTGGAAAGTGCGCTCACAGGCTTGTGGAGCTTGAAAGGACCTCAGAGCTCCTCCTGGTCGACCACCTTTTCCTAACTGGGACTCTCAAGAGGGCCAACTGTGAGGATCCGTAGTATGCAGGATCCAAGGTAAAGGGTTCTGGATTTTTGGTGTAATTTTGTTTTAACCTGTAGCGAACTCTTGATGCTTCTGGGGCTTTGGATATTTTTTTCCCTTTTATTTTCAGTGCTTCACAACTAAACATTTGTAGTATTTTTTTTCACTAGAGATGAAAAAATAAATTACTACTCACATCTACTGGCTGGATATCTTTGTTATAAGGGCTGAACAAAGGTTCAGAATGTTGGCTAAAGTATGGCTTGGAAATTGTCTTTGGCTTTCTGTCTTGCATGCACTGGCTATTATCCCATAGGAGCACAGAAAGTATAAAGATAAACTAGAAGAGACGGCTTCCTGCAGGTGCAGGGTGAACACTTGAGCCCAGGGACACCTGGAGTGGCTGGGACACAGTGGTGGGGAGCAGGCCGTGTCCTGTCCATCACACCGGCACCTGCCGTCACCTTGGGGAACTATGGTCCATCCTGGGGCAGGGGCACCTCTGGGTTAGCAGTTTAGGAGGACCCACTGGAGACAGAGCCCAGAAACTTGCCTTGAAGGACAACCAAGGTACTGGTCGGCTAATGGGAGAACTCAGATGAAATCTGTGTCATCTGAGGGTATTAAAACATGACTTGGAAGACAGACTGGGAGTTGACTGGGTAAGACAAGGCACCAGGAAGCCTCCTAAGGTGGCTGACACCAAACAGACACAGGCTGGCCCATCTGCTCCTGCAGGGCTGGGGTCCACTTTCAGGGCACCATGACACCAGTGAGATAAAACACGACCAGGCCACTGTTTTCCAAACCTCCTCTATGATCCACTGAGCTTACTGACAAAATGCAACTTGGCTTTGCTGTCACTGATCCAGACATAGAGGATCCTCAAGTGGAAAATTTCACAAGACAAAAGAAATGAAACTCTGTCCTCTGAAAAACAAAACACCTTGTGCCTAGCTGGCAGTTCAAAACAAATTAAAATGCTATCTTGTATTCAGTTAGGAATCTTCTCTTGAGAACATAAAGGAGTCTTAATTCCTATTTCCATAAATTCACAGAACTGGCTCATTCTGGCCCTGTGTGGGGCTGGCGGGGCTGTTAATTGCGTCCTTTTTGCCGGTAACAGGGCTCTCATATCTCCCTGGCAATGAGGGCTTTTCCTCAATTTCTCCTTTCCCTCTGGACCACCTACAGGCACGACCTACTGCCAGAGAGGCCTTGATGTAAACACAGGTGTTAACACATCTGCATCGGTGCATGGGGGCGGGCAGCGGCCGCCATATGGTTGGAGTAACACTATTGAAACACCATACCCCTTCTGGAGGGCTAGGTTTATTTACAATTTTTAAATTAAAATATGCAAATTGCAAGTAAACAGAGGAACCACAGAGCTCAATTCTGCTGTAAAATTGATTGGAGACATTTGTCTATGTTGCGGGTTTTATACACAGAGCTCTGAGGCCAAGAAGAAATGTAGATAGTTAAGTCCAGAGCGAGGGGCACACACTGGTTCAGAGCAAGGTGACAGCCAAACGAGGCAAGAGGATTCCTGAGGCAAGCAGCACAGCCCAGAGACTGCTAAAACAGTTTGTAATCGTTACAGCTTTGCAGGATTTCAAATCATCCTTGTAAGGACCACAAAGCTGGGGGTATTTGGTGAAACATCTCAGGCAGCTCTAGAATTTAAGGTTTCTACAGGACATGCTGTGCAGCCCTTGGTGCCTTTGTGAGTATTCAGCATATGCTGAAATAGGACAAGTGAAAACAAGCCTGTCCCCCGCTCTGCCACCATCTGTCATAATGTGTTCTTATTTTCAGTTTTTCGCCCATCACATACTTATGAAGCATCTAGTATGTGCAAGTACAAAGTCCTTTCTGTGGGAGCAGTCAAGCAAAATAGTAAACAAGGAGATAATAATCTATCTACAGACTGCTGATACTGGGTGGTCACGCTGGTGTGTGAAAGAACGGTAATAAAAGTTTGACAGTTTCAAGGACAGTGAATGAGATAGCAAGCTGTCAGCAAGGAGCACAGACCCTGTGCGTTATACAGATGACTGATTATCAGGCTTTGCTGAAAAAGATCACTAAGCTATGACATTTTATAACTGTCTTGAGGGTTTGGTCCTATGCTAATTTGGTCCATTTCAAACTGATATGCCAGGCAATACAGAACACCTAATGTAAAATACATGTGAAATAAATACAAGAATAAAGTAGCAAAGGAAGAGAGAAGTGTGTCTCTCATAGTTTCCTGACTGTTTGCAAAGGAATTTCATGCTTCAAAGTTATTCTTCTTCTCCAGGCCAGAGAAATCTGACACAGAATTGAACACACAAAGCTTTATGACCACGTTAATTACTTTGACAGCTACTATTGCAACTTTAGGTTTACTGATTTTGTTTCCTGCCAACCTCTACACATACTGCACTGTGTGCTAACTGATTTCAGAACTAGGAGAACCAGAAATTAAGGAAAAAGAAGGAAAATGGAACCAGTATTCTTTATATTAACAAAAAGAGTCTCTTTCCCCTTTGGAATGTTTTCACTTGAGTATTTTTTTTTTTTAATTCAGAAAAAACCTGTGAGTTCTCAAGACTCATACATCCTGGCTTAACAGCAGGATCACCTAACCTGAGAAATGGTATGTCCCTGAGACTCGGGGTTTGGTTTCCTTGGCAGAGGGTGCACTGCTGCCAGTGATTTCTTACATTATTTCCTCTGGACCTTTACTGCCAAGTCTCTGATTTACACTTGCAGCTTTCCTGCTTTTTGAAATGGATGGTCCTGGGGACAGTGAGCTATTACACCATGAAGCAACACTTTGACACATTCTCTGGCAAAGCAGAGAGAAAAATGAAGTCACAGAGTCCCACAATTAAAAGCATCTGCACAAAACATCATCTTTTTTGTTACTCAGATACCTTTCATGAATGTGTGTGCACTTCAGAACATAATGATATTTGACTAGTAATAAGCACAGGTTGTTTTTGGTTTATGATAAAAGACAATGTTGGATGGTTCCCTCAGAGACAGCCCCGTGATAGTTTCCAGTGCTAGCATTTGCCTGGGTGAAGGAGACAGCCAGTGGGGAGGGGTAAGGCACTGTGGGCAGGTTAGGGGCCATCACTGTGGGAGCCTGTGACACTGTGGCCCACATGCTCGAGAGCTGGCCATGCACAGTGGACACAGAGGCTTGCATACCAACTTACAGCACCCCTGGTGGAGCCAATTCTGGGTGAACAAACGCTGCAGGGGTTCCAGCCTGCTCTGCTCTCACAGAAAACCCTCAGGAAGAATGAAAGCCCAGGGATTCCCAGAGAATGTCCCTGAGTTGGCACCTGGGCTATGGCTGGAGGTGTGCTGTGTTGTCACCATCTTCAGTGAGGGGTCTCAAACAGGGCCCACTGCCCAGGCACCAGAGATCTCAGCGATCCTCTGTCTCCCTCCTTGATCCCCGTCTACCTTCTTCTCATTTCTCACTAGCATGTCCCCACTGCTGGCTCCAAGATCCTGATCTTTATCCCTGGGGTGTGAGTCTAGCATCCTAGTCCTGTCAGGCAAAGATGCCTCCTCTCCTCTCGCTTTCTCCTGTTTCGGTGCAGCTGCCCACGTTAATGTCCAGGTGAACACTGCAGCCCTTGGCGGTGCTGTCACTTTTACTTTGACTTGGGGCCAGCCTGCCACTGTCCCCGCCTCCTTCATTGCCCCCCCCCCATGGAGAACACCATCCTCCTCGCCTGAACTAATGCCCTTGCACCCCACACCCTTTGCCAGAGGGCCAGCCTCCTGCTCCACCCACCTAGCATCCATGGCTCAGGCAGCTTCCTGCCCTGCTGCTCCCGCGTCCCCCTCAGAGCTCAGCAGGAGCCTTGGGGGACCACCCTGCCACGCAGGTCCTCATTATCGTGGGCTGCCTGGATCGGTGGACCGTCTCCCCTGGCGCAGTCTCGATGGCCTGCCACGGGGCCGCCCCTGGTCCCTGTGGCCACCGGATCTGGTGCAGGGCCCACCCACGGACCACCGCACTGTCACTCCGCAACTCCCTTGAGAACAACCGAGGGCGGGTAACCAAGGGTGTGAACGGCGTTCTCTTGATGTTGGAGCGTCCCACAAATGTCCGTGAAGCCTGCCCAGAAAAGACCCCATCCTTAGTCGGGGCCGGCCGGAGGCAGGGCCCTCAGGACCCAGGACTGTGCGCTGCCAGGGCTCGCTGCAGCCGCCTCCCGCCCTGGGCCCACTCCAGGCTCCGCCCCCAGGCCCCGCCCCTGCATCTCCACCGCCACACCCCTCTGCCCTTAACCCCTCTGCGCACCGACTATCTCCTCTCCGCCCCTCTGCTCGGCTCCGCCCCTTCTTTCCCTAGGCCCCGCCCCTCACTTTCGCTTCGCTCCGCCCCTCCGCGGAACTCCAGTGACCTAATCCATCCAGAGTTCGGTGCTCGGCTACGCGGTGGATCGACGCGCTTGGCGCTCGCAGCGGGCGGAAGTGCGGCACTGCGGTTGGGCGGCTGCGGCTCCGGGCTCAGGCGACGGGGGTCAGCGCCAGGAGATCCTGCTGTGGGCCGCGGCTGGCCGAGGGCTGGAGGTACGTGGGGACTGGAAGGTCCTGGCGGCGGGCCGGCGGGCGGGCGGGGCGGCAGGCGGGGTCCAGGCCGCGGGGCGGGGCCGGACGCGCCCGTGGGCACCTGCCGGTCCGCCTCGGCACTGGGCCTGGCTTGTGCCGGGGAGCGGGAGCGGGCGCGGCGTGGTGCCGAGGGTCGGGGCTGCGAGCTCCGCCCGGCCGAGGCCTACAGCGCCCGAGCCGCGCTGACGCTGCCGCACTGAGGAAGCGCTCGTGGGCGGAAGCGAGTGGTCTTCCCCGGCCCCAGGACGGCCGGCGCCTGCCTGTGCTGTGTTTACGCAGGACGCGTTGCCTCCCTTAAGTGAACGAAACCGCCCGAGTGGGCTGGGGTGCCCGGCGCCCCGGGACGACGCGGATCTGCACCCTACTGCATAATAATGTTTTGCCTATAAAAACTAGTACGTACTTGTCCAGGCTTTGTGTAACTGATTCCTTTAATAACAAAAGAACTGAAAGCCAAAGCTTACCAAGGATCACCTATATGTGAAAAGGTGGTGGTAGGAGAAAGAACGTGTTCTTAGTACCCAGGTGTTCTCTTCTGTTTGAGTAAGTAGAAATTCAATAATTTTAAGCAGGGAAGCAGAGGATACTCTCCGAGTATAACTTGGAACAGCTCTTGGAAATTTTAGAAAAAGAATTTTTTCCGTGTCAAGTGTTTAATTTCCTGTGTTGTATATCGTTTTGAATTCTTGCTTTTCTGCAAGGTGATTGTTACTCTGGTAGGTTAAGTTTGAATTCATTCCACAAATATTTGAAAGCCCATTTTTTGTGAGTCTTACAGAAAAATGAAATTGACTCTGAAAATATTTTCCAAAGGCGGTCTTCTAGTGGAGGACTTGGAACAATTCCTGAGTGTCTCCTAGCAGCAGGATGAGCCTAGGAGGTGTGGATAAGAGTCGTCTCTCACTTTTGTTCCTGTTCTCCAGTTTACTGTTTTTCCTCTTCTCTTTTGAGATGAGCTCAAGTGATCTTCTTGCCTCAGCCTCCTGAATGCTGGAACTCCAGGTGCATTATCACCATGCCAGGCTTCAGCCTACCCATCATAATATAACAAGGGTTCCTAGAACAACACCTGCTGCACAGTGGGTTCTTAAATGTGGATGGGACAGATGAGTTTTAGGCCAGTGTTAGTAGGGAAGACTTTGGAATTGACACTCATGTCTCTGCTGAGCAATGTGGGCTATTGAATGACTCTCACACCCTGCGCAAAATGTGGTTGGAGTGTTCATGTAAATCATGTGCTTTTGAATATGTTTATGTTAACTAGAAAAGTTAGCCATAAAAATACTCAAACTTGTAGTAATTGTAGAGCAATGAATCTTGGGGTTGTGGACACACCCTTAGATATTCTTGGATCTCAGTTTCAGAATGACAATTTGAGGCTTATTTTTTTGCTAAAGTAACTGTTCACTGGCCCTTGGGCTGCCACTGGCTTGCTTTGCAGCACTGGCTGAGTTACTTAGTCTCTTTGGGCCTCAGTTTCCTTTTTTTAGGTATTCAGAAAATAGAATATATAGAACTAGATTATCACTGTTATCTTGAACTGAGTAAATTCACTGTCCACTTAGCACTTAACCCTTAATGGTAGGAACTGTAACTCATTGGTGTTTACATACAAGTCAAATGACCGGGCCCTTGGTGGACAGGAATTAGTTTCAGTCATTTCTCATGAAACCCCTCTCTGCTGTTCCATATAACTGCCACATAATGGTATTCAGATTCCGAAGGAGCATTTTTTGTCTTCTCAATTTAGAGAACTAAATTCTGCTCTTTTTCACTGTTATCTTGAAGAATCCTTCAGGACTTGAGTGTAGGTGCAGCAGGACTTCGGAGGAGGGAAGGATGTGTCAGGGTTGGAACGATGGGAAAAGCTTTGGGGCAGTGGACCATGATGGGAAAGGCCTGTGCCAGTCTGGTTCGCACATGGGGAGCAGTGGCCTCAGGCTAGTGAGGGAAGGAGATGTGGAAGACGAGGCCTTGGAGTCAGGCGGAGGAGTTTGGAACTGATCTGTTAGGCAGTTGTTTATTTGGAACATTGTCTAAGCCAGCAGAAAAGGTTTTTGAACATTCTTTAAATACTATCAGTGGTGTTTAAGCCTGGGGTGGACCATTCAGTTTGGTTTATTTTTGTTTTAGAGCTTAGCAGTTCTTAATATTTTCAGCTCACAGTAAATTTTGGTGCTGATTAAGCAAAACACTGCACCCTGGGACTTGAGGTGCTTGGATTTTAGTGTGTCAGATGTTAGCTGCCCCAGTGGGTCAGGGCACACCCAGAATATTGCTGGGCACCCAGTGAGCACTCAGGGACAAATGTGCAGTGCTACTGCCACTGCTGCTGGTTTTGCTGTCTCTGCAGGGCTGGCCCTAGTCTCCCTGATAAGTTCCAGTGAATCTTCAAAGGCCTTTTCCAGTTTTAAGGTTCTGTGACTTTGGAAGGTGTTTAACTTTCATTGTGTTATAATTTTACTGTAAGACAAGACAGAAGCCTGGGTATTTTCGTTTGGGGTAGTTCCAGTGAAAGCCCCTTGTGAGTGGTACGATGTGTATCAGTGTCAGGGTCTCTGCTGAATTTGAACTCACACCAGGTGGTTTGAATGAGAAGACTGTTGGCAGGGGTGTCGCAGGGCTGGGAAATACGTGAGGATGGTGAAGCTCAAAGAGAAGCCAACAGCACAAAAGATAGTAGGGTTTGTACCTCTATTAACGGGAGTAAGAGAAACATGCTCCCAGAGCAAGTGCCAGCCTCTTAAAATAAAACAAGGGTGCAGGTGTGAACCAAAGGGAGGCACTGGGGCTGTGAGGTCAAGGACACCACCTTCTATATCTCCCACTCCTTACGCTGTCCTCAGATCTAGGCTGTCCTGTCAAAAAACCTGCTCAAGTTCTCTAGAAAAATTGAAGATGGCACTTTCTGATTGGTCCCAGGCACCCAGCTGTGGGAACTGTTCTGTGCTTGTCCTGGAAAGGCCATGATTGACAGGTTGTGCCCACTTGACAAACCCGTGCCACACCCTAATCTCCTGGCTCAACTAGACCTGCTTTTTTCCTCTTCAGGAGAACTCCGTGATTGTTTCTCACTCCTGTGCCAGTCTGATGGGCTGATTCTTAGCCTTGGGTGATCTCAGATCTGCCTGGTCGCTGGAACCAGCTGGGGAAAATCATGGTGTCTCTATTTGTGTCCCTGTAAACCCATGGTCACCAGTCCCATTCAGGCCATGAAGGAATCTTCTAGGGAACGTTTTCTTCACAAGACCTGCTTTTCATCTCTGCAGATTCTGTCTTTGCTCATCCATTCATGTCATCTTAGCAGATGATCATGCCGCCGGTTTTAGTAGTAAGAACCCAAGTGGAATCCCATGGTGTTTCTGTCAAGAAACTTCTTTCCTCTTGCATTTACAAGAGTGGAGATTGTGTTTGTGCTGGGACCCATCTCAGAAGCTGGGCACTGCTCACCTGCTCCTTCCACTTGGAGGATCTTGCTCATTTGTTCCTGTCTTGCTGAGGCACCTTCCTGTGGCCTTCTTATGTGGCCAGAAACTTCCAGCAAGAACAGGGCAAACTAGAAAACAGCTATAGTGAAAAAGCAGAATCCTCTTGGTTTGACATTCCCTATTCAAATTTCTTTCTCTTCTCAGCCCATTTTGCTTTTGAAATATTTATTTACACTCCACTCTATGTCACTTCTCCTACTGCTGTCTGGTTTTGTGCTATGACTCCCCAGAAGGTCAAGGTCATATATGACTGGTTACAAATCTTGTTCTTATATCCTTTAGTGTGCTACCTGGGGCATAGCAAGTGATTAATGAGTACAGGTATTCCGTGTTTACTACCACGTGTTTAACTGCTGATCAGATTTATGACCAAGGTGAGCTGTTCAGACCTCTACTCGGACTTATAGCCTGCATCTGCTCTGATCAGGCTTACCACACTGGAATGTGGGCGGCAGCTGGGTGGCAGTGCAGTCTTGTGGTGGCTTCTATGGTACAGTAGAGTAATTTTTGGTATTGTATGGTGCTGTGGTTTTGTGTTCTATTGTACATGGTAGTACTACATTATTTATGCATGTGAGGCAAAGCCATCACTTTGGAGTTTACTGTGACCATTCCTTTGTTCTGTGATGTACCCACTATACACACCTCCTCATTTTAGCAAGCAGTCTACTTAACAACTTCTTTGTGGGGCTGTAACTTGATTGTCAAATGGGGAGTGCCTGTATTTGTTTTGACTGAAAAAACCTGAGGGTGTTTCCTTTTCGTAACCTCAGTTTATCTGTATCTCTGTGATTGATGAGTTTAGGAGTCTGACACTGTTGTCTTCTGCAGTGCTGATTGACCGTTCTTTGTGTAGATCTCAAATCTTAATAAGCAAAGGTAGAAATGAATTTTATTTGACTGACTTCTTCAGTCTTGTCCAGGTGATTTTTTGGGGGCAGAGGAGAACCAGATGTTTTTTTCCTAAAAAAATTACATTTTCTAAAGTATCAGAAATTAGTATTTTTATCCATTCATGTAGATCTAATAACAAGGGAGAGTTAGGGACCCTGGGTGCAAATTGGGAGTGTTTTTGAATAAACAATGTAAAGTTTTATAGGAAACGACCCTTCCTCCTATTAAAGTAGTGTGTCTTCTTTGGGGCTTCTACAGTTGTTTTGTGGGAATTGGACAAGTGTGGGAGCTGAGTTTGCGCTGGCCTGTTCACTTTACATCAGTGTCCTTGGCCAGCGTTAGGGGAGCAGGTTCTTTTAGCTCTCCGGCTGTGCTGAGCAGAGAGGTCCTCCTCGGAGAGGGTGAGGCTTTCTAGCTCCCGGGAATGAGGAGACTTCTGGCAGCCCTTCCCATGCAGGAGGAGCCCAGCGCCTGTCTTGGGAGAGCATCGAGGCCCAGTGTGGATGGGGGACCAGTGCGGATGTAGCAGGTAGTCCTGGCAGTGTTGTGGGCTGGCCTCGGGCTCTCCCTCCATCCTGT